AGATCACACTTAAGTTCAGTAAAGTCTTCACCAATATCGGCCAGGCCTACAGCCCAACTACAGGTACACAGCTCTTTTATCTACACACATAAATGTGCAAAGGAGTTCTTTACAGAAGGCAAGATGTGACTGTAGTAAGATTTCTGTGGTATGAATTTTCTAAGTCAAACCAATAAAACAAACATCCCTTTGTCTTCTTACAAATGATCTGGAAAGAAAATAAAACCAAGAGCTCCCACAGATTACTGATACAAATCCATGTTTAAGGCCTGTTAAAGCATCAGATAACAACACAAGTTCACCTCGCTCAACAGAGCAAAGACTATTTTGACCCCTCACTGATTTTCTCCTCTGCTGCAGGTATCTTCACAGCCCCAGTCAGAGGAGTCTACAACTTCAGATTCACAGTGGTCGGGGGCCACTATTTAACTTGGACCGGTGCTTATCTCTATCACAATGAGAAGAGAATGACACTTAGTCACGATTACAATGATGAAGTTGGCTTTGTCTCTGTGTCTAATGCATTAATTCTTCAACTGGAAAAGGGAGATGTGGTCTACATGGCTCTCCCTTCAGGCCATGGTGTCTTTGATGATTCGCATAATCGTACCATTTTTAGTGGATTTCTACTTTTTGCTCTGTGAAGTCACCTGTAAAACATCCACAGTCAATTGCATTAAGTTTTGACATCACAATATTAAAAATATGTGTGGCAATTAAAAAAAAAAATCTGTATGTGTGTATTTTTTTCTTGTTCTGAACAAGATGACAGGAATAACAATAAGAAAGTCCTCTGCTGACAATATCAAACAAAGTCTTATAAAGAGGAAGAGGATGTTATATTCACTACAGTAACACAACATTATTCTGTGAATCCATACATGCATCCATTCAAGTGAGACAAACACTTAACTCAGTGGTCACTGTGAGAATAACCTGGTATCAGAGTACTGTGAGAGCATCCACTTTGATAAAGACAAAAATATTCAACAACAAGCCGTTTTACTTGATTCATAAATCAGTTATTTAAAGGTCCAGTGTGCAGAGTTTAGGGGAATACATCTGCAGAGATGGAATACAATATAATCAGCATGTTTTCTTAAGTGTTAAACCACCAGAAAATAAGAACTGGGTTTCGTTGCCTTAGAATGAGCTGTTTAAATCTACAGAGGGAGCAGATCCTCGTCTATGGTGATTGCCATGTTTCACCGCCTTGGTTTCTACAGTAGCCAAGAACGGACAAACCAAACACTGATTCTAGATACACGTTTTCATGTTTTCATTGGCCGCTGTAGTTAGCAGCTCCTCTACAACATGCAAAACAGTGTCAGAAAAATACTGTCTTTTAACGTGAAACTGCTTTATAGAGTGGTTTTACCTGTGTAAATCACTGGGCCCAGAGAGTCACTCATCAGGATGAGGAAATCAACTCACTTGTCTGTAAACTCTCCCTCTGCTGACTACTAGCGAGCTAGCTGCTAGCTAGCCAAGATGAGGTTTTAAGATGGAAACATCAAGGAAAGATGGAGAAAAGTAGGCACCAGCTGAACTAGCATCCTGGTAGCCACTGTACACACGTTGGATAATAAACTAGACGAAATAAAATAAATAATAAAAAACAACTCATACATGTAGGTCTATAAAGTTAAATACAGTACCTTTAATTTTATTTTAAAGCATGTATTACAAATTATTTCAAAATAACGCAGCTCAAACTGCTCGATGTTTACTTTAAATTCAGCTCAGTGTTCAAGGATGTTTGGAGCTATTTTTACATTTGTTATCAAAGACATCTGTTTGATTCTCATACGCCTCCTCACTGAGCTGTTTTACGTGTATATAAAGACGGGAATCAAAGCAGACGTGTCAGACTGCATCTGGCTGTCTAAACAGGTGATATTTCAGAATGAGGAGCGCTGCAGTTTTTCTGGCATTGTTGCTCTGTCTGCAATGGACGTGGGCTCAGGGTGAGAGTGGAGAGGTGACAGGGACAGACGCTGAGACAGAGGGGGGAAACAGGCAGGAAGAGGTTCAGTTTGAGATACAGGGTGTCGGAGCAGCCCATGATCAGAGCAGCAGCCAGACCAACATCAGCCCTGACATCTGGGCTGAGCTCAAGGAGCTGAGAGACATGGCCATCGAACAAAAGGTGGAGCTGAGGAACAGCAAGAGCAAGATAGAGAAGCTGGAGCAAGAGAATGCAGGTGATACACATCATAAAACATACTGAGTGTCAGTCACACAGTGCTGCACAGATTCATGCACTAATATAATGCTTTACACCCAGCCACACAGGCCAGACTGACAGCCAGTGAAAGCAAGAATGCAGGTAAATA